CTTCCTTACCAGCCAGGCCCTCCGTTTAGCTTCTTGTTAGTCAAGCCACCAACCTCTTGGCACACACAAGTAAACGAACGAAACTTGATATCTGACCATTGATTCCTTCTACCAGTCTAATAAAAGACTTCACTGTGGAGTAGGTAGAATTAATGGTTCAAAGGAGAGTGTTCACGGGGCTCTCCTGCCACACCAAACCTTGTTCTCCTTGGCTCAGACAATGGAGAGATGATTCTTAAAACATGACCCCAACCAGATAGCTTTTTCTAGATCATTCCTTACCTGGTTTCAACAGTTCTGACAGTTGCATCCATTTATAATTGGTTATATCTTTATTTCTACAAAAGACTTCTCATTCATCTTTGTTTTAAAAGTAAATTCATTAACACTACTACTACTACTAATAAAATTTACTCATTTGACCAATTAGTACAGACCTGGAAAACTGCTTAAAACCAGAACTCATTAAATAGTCTCTCTAGTTCATGGAAACTGTTCCACATGCACACACACACATTTAAAGTTTAGAGATAAAAGTATGATAACTACACCTCATACCATAAGGTGCTGTGATTAAAGGAGACAAGAGCACTGGTACCTTCTTTTCACTGCATTTTTCAAGTAAACGGAATCGTTCCATGAAAAGGCTTGACACTATATATGTGCAAACAACCCGAAAGAGTTTTGATGGAAGAGACATAAGGGGAACCAGCATTTCAATGCATCATCCAAGATAGTTGTAAAGATGCAGCTGTAATTTACGTAGCAGGAGTCCACTTGCTCTCAATTTTCTAAAGTACTACAAAGTAGTTGCAAATAAATCATAGCAGGTATTCTATGAAAATTGATAACCATACAAACCCTGTAGAGACCCCAAAGTGGACCACTTTCCCCAGAAGTCAGAGATCACGGGAGCCCAGCATCCTCACTCTCCGCAGGGGTCTCGGAGGCCCCACCATGGTGCTGAAGCAGATGGTATTGAGTGTCGGTTCCATTTTGTCAAAGTACCCACTCTGATTCTTAGTCACCGCGTCCCCTCTGAGCCCCACTTCCAGACAGAGTTTGGCCTGCTTAGCAAAGTATTTTATTCTATTCTACTCACAAAAACTTTAATTCAAGGAAACATACATATTAAGAAGTTATTTCCCACAAATAATTAAAACACGAAACTTCTCAGCAACAACAAAAAGGAGAACACAGAAAACCCCTACTAATCTGGGGATCAAACAAGAACCGGGTTTGGTTTCGTTTTTAATGTTCATAATAAACTACGGCAAACATGTTTTCCAAATTAATTTCAGATACTTCCGGCCATCAACTAGAATTGAGTTTTAAATAATTTCTCTAATTGAATTTCATTTTCCTCATCCATCTGTGTTCTAAGAACATAAAGTAAAACACAGGCAAACTGTTCCTTGCAGTTTATGTTTGAAATAAAAATCATAGCATGTAACAATATTATGCAAAGGCATAAATAAGTATAATAAACCATGAGGTTAATTGGTCGCGAAATACTTTTTGTCAAATATAGCACAGTGTTGGTGATGGTGATGATTCTTCATGAATTGGTGCATCTGTTTAAAACAGAAATTTCTCTAAAACAAGAAAGCACCAAAGGAAATGTCATTAATGGATATCCAGGGTGGGAAAGGTTCCTTCAGACAGTATTTTACAACGGAGTAAAAATTTAAACTTCAGAATGAAAACCATTTACATAGCTTAAGGCACATCTGGACAACTCTAGTCATTCATATTTGTAACAACATTATTACCAACTTCAGGAAATCAGGATTTCTAAAAACATGATCCATCCCAGAACACAATCTGCCGGGTGGGTTGGAAAAAGAGCTGGGGTGGAGGCAGGGTAGTGCTCATTGTCACTCTAAGGGCCACCCACACAAATCTGTTCATGCAAGGAACAGTTCCGTGTCCACAGCTGAAAGAGCTCAGTAGACACACATTGTGCACATTTTCTAGAGCCCCTAGCCACCTTCCCGGACAACTGCATCAGCAATGGACAGGATGTGAGTTTGTCTACGTCAGCCTCTGTAGCTGCAATCACACCCCAGAAGAGAAAGAGGAGTTTTTAAGTAGGAAGCAAAATCTTCAAAACCATTCCTCTAATGAAGGGTCCCTTAACGCCTGACAAAAAGGACATGAAATGCCTGCAGATGCAGCCATCATCACGCATGACCTCCTCCTTCTCCAAGATTAGAAAATAAAGCTTTTGGAAGAGACTCAATTTATAATGTTATAACTCAGCTTGATTTCGTTATTCAGTGCATTGCAAACTCAACTTTGGCTCTACTACAAATGTGAAATTTTTAACTCTAAAATCATGAACCAGATATTCTCTACCCATCACCATCACTTCATGGTTCATTTTTTGCACCATTTAATATAGAAATTTACATACAAAATTGATTTATACAGTAACAAATGCAACAATACAGTTTTTTCCTTTCCACCAGCTCATAACTTTACTTAAAGTATAAAATCTAAATGCAGAGAAGGTAATTTTATGTGACAAGGTTTGCAACAATGTCTACAACAGCTGTCATGCATGTTCCTGTGCTTATATTGTTAATGCTTTGCAAAGATCTTAGTGCTTCCCTAGTAACTCCTGAGTTGGAGGCTTTATTTTCTTCTTGGTGTTGAGATTAAGTCTCAACACAGAAATTTAAAACAAAGCTAAAATGACTGGTTTTGAACGGAGAACTATAATACTTTAGAGTTTACTTATGAGACTGAGCATGAAAAATGTATAATGGTATAATAGTTTTAATGTTATAAACTTTTCCCCTCCCTGCTGTACAGAAATATATCTTATAATTATATATTACTTTACAGTATTTCAAAATATTTTCACATATACTATCTCCTTAGAGTTGTGAAAGCACAAAATATTAGACATGTACTAGACTAACCAAGCAGTTTAACATCTATTGCAAATAAACTACAGCTTGCATGAAATGCAAGTTAGCATTTTATATTCATAGCCAGTATTTAGTATCCTTGCAGTCTGTGGAACAAACACTATATGTTGCAAAGATTCAATAATGTTTCTAGCTAGTTAAGCATGCTTTGCCACACTTTTTATCAGCTTCTCAGTGAATTTGTGCAAGCATATGGTAGCTTTTAAAATTATAAAATATTGGAGTTAAACCTAGGGGGCTGTATCTTAGCTAAGACACAATACATAGCTGCAGATCTTATTTTTAAAAACTATTAAATGTACAAAATATTCTTAATAGAAAAAAAATCTAGCCATAATTTTTATCTGCAAGAAGAATGATATCCTATTAGTTGTTCTCCATTGAATAATTGTCATGTTATTTACAAATTAAATTTCGGGGACACACTGGTAACTACAAACAGAGCACAATGATGAGAAAAGGCCACTGTTGTAGATGACGTTCAGGAGGTGTTTTCCTTGAGACTAAATATTCTCTAACTAAATGGTCCAAATAAATCAAATCCTCATTTAAAATAATATCCTAAATCTTAAGCTATTAAATAAGCCTTGCCCCCCGACCCATTATTTCTCAGGGTTTGATGTACTACAATGTCCAAATAAGTCAGGTTATATATTTTTTTATTTAAGCATCTGGTAACTCTTTATTAGGATTTTATTATCTGGTCAAATGTTATTAAGCCTTTTGAAAAGGGTCTGACCACTTATGTCAGCAAATTTTGGATGAGGTTTTGAATCACATTAATTGTAGTCCTGCAAATCAGGCTAATACAATAATCTATAAGGAAGCTTCAAAAAGTCCATGGGAAAAATGGAATTAAAAGATAATGCGATTTTTCCATGAACTTTTAAAAGCCTCTTTGTACTAGCTTCCCCTGAATTCAGTTAAATGGTCTATTGAGCTCCATGAGAGTATTTTAGTGGTCTATGAGAATATATGAGGCTCCATATATTCCTTGCATGTGAAAGTATGTAAACAAATAAAATGCAAAAGCAGAACTTTTCCCTAATTCTACTACTGGTTTAACAAATGTAAGAAAGCAAAAATTGCACATTATGGGAACTAAAGACAAGAAAACTTTCTACATTGAAATTACTAGGATGATATACAGAAAAGTATTATTAGCATCCATACAGAAATTAATAGTTACTAAACTATGATGTTTCACATTAACTTCAAAGCCATAGATTTGTATTTTAAAGGCATGCTTATCAGTGGGTTTACTTTATAGAAAGGCAGTGTGAAAATAAATCATTACAGACAACAGAAGATGATATGATGTGACACAAAATAGGACATAATAGGGGCTAAAGTGAAGAAGAAAGAAAAAAAAACCTAAGGAAGACACAAAAGCCAATTCCTTTCAAAATGAAACAAAGTAAAAATGTTTTATTTATTAATTGCCTTAGCTGTATTTATCTGTATGCTTTGAAATTTTCACCAAGCAGTTCTGGTTGTTTTGCAATTTATAACAGCGAAGAGTGACAACAAAAGCCGCAGCAGAGTTCATGGATCCAGGACAGACAAACCCTCAGGAACAGCAATGGGAGTAACGATACCATGAGGGTGGGGGAAGGTGGGGGGATAAGGGGAAACCGACCACAATGCTGCACAACGCCCCCCCCCACCCCGGAGATGAACAATAATATGGACAAAGGGAGACAGCCGGTGGTGTAAGATATGAAAACAATAATCATTTATAATTTATCATGGGTCCATGAGGGTGGGAGGATGGGGGAGGGAGGGAAAAAAAGAGGAGCTGATACTAAGGGCTCAAACAGAAAGAAAATATTTTGAAAATGATGAAGGCAACAGATATATAAATGTGCTTGATACAATTGTTGTATGGGTTGTTATCAGAGCTGTAAGAGCCCCCAATGAAACAATTTACTTATAATAATAAAAAAGAAGAAGAAAAATTATTTATTTTAAAGCAGCTATTAAGTAGCAGTCAGTGCTTATTAAAACTAAACATGGAATTTCAAATTTGTTCTCTATTTTAAGGTTTGACAATTTATGGGTGCATCAAATGGCATTTTAAAAGGATTAACTGTACATTAAACTTATTACTAATCTCATAATCCACATAATACTGAGATACTAATGATCTGAGTGACCACTACCCAGTTGCCAATACAAGGGGCATGGGTTTGAAAAATGAAGGATTCCTTTGTTATTTAATTCTCCAGCCATGTGCATCCAGAGTCAAGCAGCCCAAGGTGTGTGGCACAGAGAGCCATAGGAAACGTAATTCTTTTCAAGGACTTTTGATTCAAAATTGGTTTAAGTACATAACACAGAAAAGCATTTTTATCATTTTAAACGAAATCTTGACATCAGACGCTGAAAGTCCACCACAGTTGCATTTAAACGTCAGTTGTGAGGGTGCGGGTGCCCACTAGCACACTAGACATGAGGGTAGCATCCTAGCGTGTCAGAAAGGCAAGTGCTCCATCACACAATGCAGCCCGCGAGCTTGCACAGGGAGGAAAGTGATCGAGTCAGTGGGATGAGGGGTGGGCTGAGCTCCCCACCAACATCCATTTTACTTTAGTAGACTTGAAAACAAATACATGGTGGTGTGGGAATCAAAGTATCCAAATGACTCTAATGAATTATCTGACTTCAAAACTAGAAATTCGGAAATCAGGAATAAAATTTGTGCCAACAAATGAAACCATTCTTTGCGTTTCCCCAGTTAGAGCGCAACTTCCCAGGAGAAGTTGCTTGGTGTAAAGGATTGTTTTCAGAGCCCTTGACAATAACTTCAAAGTAATCGTCCAGTGTCACATTGGACAACGCCCATCCTCTGGTCCCTGCAGAACGCATCCTTGATTGGATAGTGTCGTCCAACTTCATATCAAACTTTAAATCCGTGGTCATCTGACATGACAACGACAACAACAAAATGCTTACGATATAAATCACAAAACATAAATCACAAAATGGCTAAACTGTGGTATACGACCTCGCTTTTTTTTTTTTAGAAAAAAATCCGACAGCCTTTCCCCTGCTCCCGTACCCACAGGAGTCTGTGGTTTCTGGACAGTTCACTGCGGTGGTACATCATCGTGGGAACTCGCGTTTCCAGGATTTTCAGAGTTTGGGTTAGGAGCCTCACCACCTTCTGCTTTTTCAGAAGGGGGTGCACTCTCAGTGGAACTGCTCGCAGTTTGTTCGGGTGGGGAATCGGGGTGGTCCCCCGGACAGTCCTTCTCGCTGCTGCTTCGCGGCCTGGCGGCCTCCTCGCCTGGCTCTGGCCCCAGCCTCCCGGGCTCCGCGCCAGCGTCCTTCGGGGTCCCTTTCTTGTCTTCCTCGGCCTTGCTGTTTATGTGAGCAGCTGCGGGGGCATTTTTGGACTCCTTGGGCTTTCTGTGCACAGACCCTTGGTTGTTAGGAGCTGACACGGGAGGGCTGGGCGTGGGGGGGCCTTTGCTCCCCTCGGAGAGCTCTTTCCTGGGGGGGCCCCAGATGAAATGCTCGGGGGGCGTGTAATGCTTCTGGGCGAAGCGCAGGAGCTTCCTCCTCTCGGCGCGGTCTCTGACCGTATACACGAAGTACTCGAGCGCGCTCTGCCTAATATTGGGGAGCGTGTTCGCCACCAGTGCCTCGTAAAGGATCAATTTGACAAGAGGAGGTTTGAAACTTTCGTATCCAAGCTCGCCAAGGCTTTTAAGAATACGGGTGATTCTTAAATAGTTGTGCTGGGACCTAGAAGAGAGGATTGAAGATGAGAGTCAAAAACGCAGTGAAGGAAAACAAGGACATGAATACTACCGGGAAACGAGTCTCTATAGACGTGCCGGCCACAGCAATATGCCTGGCAATCACTTTTTCCCTACGCTAAATTAGAAACCATCAAGAGGTATAATAAAATAGAAAGGAGCTGTGCCTAAATTTAATGTCAATTTATGTGAAACCTCGACATGCAATATGTATTTCCAGTGTCCATTAAATCTGCCTCTTAGGGAAATGTTCACAGTAAAATTTCTTCCTACTGATGTTTATTTATTTAGTACTCTGATGATGAATAATCTAGTAGGCCATTTATTGCAACAACACCAATATATTGTCACTTGTAAACAGTACTGAACATTATATATATAATGTTCATATATACATATATATACAGCATTATATAACACTTGAACACTATTTTAAAAAGCTTTGTCTTTATGGGTTTTTTTAGTGGTTAAGAGGCAAGAACCTTCTGAAACAGTGCATGATTGGATGAAGACCAGTCATAGCACAAAGAGCAGGATTAAATTAGTTGTTAGGGTCCTAAGGAGATTGTATACTCTGAATATGTAGTAACACAACTCGGGCAATAACTGTTTCTAATGTCTCTGAGAAAGAGGTGCATGGAAAGGGAAAATATATATTTTTTAATCTCAAAAAGGAACCAGAGGACAAAACAAAAAATGCACTTCACTTGCAAGTTCAACTCTATAGATCCAACCCCAGACGACAAGTCAAGTTAAAATTGGGTGCACATCAAGCAGAATCTGCACAGTCTCCAATTTAAAATATTTACAAACATCAAAAAGATACAAAAACTTGGGCTTGAAGAATGATGATCAAGGTTGTGGACAAAAACTGTGGAAGAGAACTACCGAGGGTTTTAGTACGGCTTGAAATACATCTTCTGGTAAAAGGGCGAATGGAAGTGAGGAGGCAGTGCAAAGGGGGAGGACAGACGGAGATGGGCCGGCTGGGCTTCTCATAGAGGTCAGGCCAGTAAACAGGGGTGCAGTTGCTGCGAAGCTTGGAGGTGAAGTGAGAACTCTGAAAGGCAAAAGCCAAGAAGCCATAAAATAAAAGAAGGGACTTCACAGTGTAAAACATAGGTCAGTAAACCAGAATGATTACAAATAAAATTGGAAACACGTCAGTGTCTGATCTATAAATATATACTCTCATGTCTGAAAATATTCCACCTCTTTTAATCAGGGTCACTGAAGGTTATTTCATTCTACTTTAATTCAATATTTTTTCTCTCCTGGGCTACTGTAAATAATGTACATTGAGTTTCCTGGCTGCTCTTTAAAAAGCAAAAACTCTCAAGATGAGGTCTAGATTAAAACAGATAAGTGATGACATTTAAAGAAAACCAACAGGGAGTTCAACTGAAGAAAGAAAATGGAAGAGAAGTTTTCATGCTTCCCTACAGTTTGTTCAAATCTAGTCAATGAGTGTGATTTTTGGCAAGAGAACCAGAAAGACTATTTGTTTTTTTCTGGCAGATTCAAATGCAGAGGACGGTTAATTATTAGTTCGAAGATCTGTATGAAACACCCAGAGAAAGAGAAGCAAAGACAGAGGGTGACAGAAAGGAAGGGACCTAACTCTAGCTCCGGCTCCACTCCCTGACTCCGGCCAGCAGACCCCTAATTAAGCCCTGCAGAATGGGATCTGTTTTCATCTATAAGTCAGTGGAGCTGAAAATAAAACCAAAGAGGCTCTAAGCTGACTACTATTACTTTGTTCACTCATGTATTCATTCAACAAACTTTTACTATAGCTACGACTTGTTCATCCAGGCAAATAAATCGAGTTGGAGAGGGCTGTTCCCTATATAACAGTTGTGAGTGCCCAGATGATAAAAAGCAAAGATCCGCTCTCAAGATTTACCTTGACTTTTTCCATCCTACCTGGCAACGGGCTTCTTGGATACAATAGTGCTTAGAAACTTTATCTAGAGATAGCTACCTGCATTACTTAAGCACAGGCATATATACTTCAGCTTTAAGTGCTCTATATAAATCAAAGTTCACTAGAGTTACGGGTTAATGTTTCTTCTAGTCAGGATCATAAAGCTTTATGCCCATATGATCTGTTTTAGTACAAGCTACCATTTAAATCATACTGATCATGGCTAAGAAAGTAAAAAGAAGGCTCAAGCATTAATACCTACATTCATTTTACTACAGCGAGGTGAACATTCTTGAGAGACACACACATACAAAACTTAGCTTGCTGATGCATAAAACTTTGGATTGTTTTCAATAAAGAGAAATTGCTTAGGGTAGTTTTGAAGGTTTTTTTTTCCCTCCCCTTAATACTTGCCCAGTTAGTTCAGCTAATTATAACGTGCTAAAAAGTCCTTTAAAATGGTTAGCTTATAGTCCAGTACTTACAACTCAACCCTATAATTAAAAACGGGAAAAAACCAGTTTGATATAAATATATATACACATATATACATATTATGAAAAAGACTTTGGCTATAAGTAAAATGAAAGTTATGAATATCCAGGCAAAAGAATATATCAAATAAATTCCAAATAAATAATCTTATTAATTTTATCACAGATTTGAGGATTTATTAGCCAAGAGTGAGCTTTGGTGGTTTTCCTAAATAGAAAGGATATTTTTAATGTTCTTTGCATTTGAGTAAAATGGACATACAGATCTCAGTCTTATAAAGTGACGTTCCCCATCAAAGACTTCATTCACGGCTTTCATCTAAGACGCCTCCGTGCTTGAGGATGTTAACACTGGACCATCTCCTCAAGAAGTTTACGAGATAGACGAAAGAATAACCACAAATGCCCCAAACAGAGATTACATTTTTAAAAAGGGAAAGAGGCCACAACTGGCTGTGGGCACTGAGGAGATTTCAGGAAGAAAAAGTTTTGAAGCAGACTAGCTGTGTTTCTACTTGAAATCTCTTTCATTTGTGTTATTATTTTCTTTCAGAATGCAGAACAGAGGGCAACATTGACTTTACATTCCACTGCTTTTGACTTTACATTCCACTGCTTTTGAGCCCAAACGCCTGCATCCATCTGCTATTTGGCACTGTGTTCCACAGGTGCTGGTGCCGGTGACCAAGGAAAGAAATCACCTGCCAGGACCCCAAAGTCCCGGCTGGGGCTTGACTTACTCATTCAGATGCTGAAACCTCTCCTGCCAGTTAGCAGCCCGGGCCACATTTCCAGTCTTATCCACCAGTTTTATTCCAAAAAATTCTAACATCATTTTATAAGCCAGGAGAAATCTTCTAATTGCTTCTTTTGTCTTCTTGAATTCCTAATGGGGGAAGGTCCATTGAAATGATTCAGTAAGTAGCTAGCAGGGGAATGAAGATGCATATTTATTTTGCCATCTCATATACAATGAAATAAGTCTGTATTACCTCAATTTCATATGTAGTTAGTTCTTTTGCATAAAAATTCAAGCCTTGTTCTCTCAGGGGGAAAAGCCTATTGTTTTCAAAGATGAAACATGTGTTAGTGTTTTCTGGAAAACAATCAAGGTTAAGCAGGACGTAGCTCAAAGTGGATAGCAGGTAACTGACCATTGAATGTAAGTGTGGTTGTGCTCCAATTTTTCATAATCTCCTTTCCACTTATTTAGAACTTCTTCGATGTAAACACCTAAATCATAAATATTCACACAATCAATCAGATTTGTAAAACATTTTGAAAGCATTTTAAGATTTCAACGGCTTAAGCTTGATATTAAAACTTCTAAAAATTTAATAACAGCAAAGGAGAAAATGATTTGAAGAGACAAACATCTTATGCCACATATCTTATGTAACAAGCATAATTTAAAAAACTAGTATCTCAAATTGCAGAAAAATCCTATTAGACCGTGTTACTCTAGAGCAAAGGTTGGCAAACTCTGACCCATCCTTGTTTTTGTCCAAAAAGTTTTATTAGAACACAAATGCGCACGTTCATTTATACATTGTCGATGGTTGCTTTCCTACAAGAGTGGAACAGTTATTGTGACAGAGAATATATGGCCCAGAAAGCCAAAAATATTTACTTTGTGGCCCCATATAGAAAAAGTTTGCTGACTTTTGCTCTAGAGCAGTGGTACTCAACCTGTGGGTCGCAACCCCTTTGGGGGTCAAATGACCCTTTCACAGGGGTCTCCCGATTCATAACAGTAGCAAAATTACAGTTATTAAGTAGCAATGAAATTAATTTGATGGCTGGGGGGTCCCCACAACATGAGGATCATGAAACTCTTTAAATACGGGATACGATCAAAATGAAATGTATTCCAGGGAGAAATAAAGGAAGGGATGAGGGAGAGGGAAGAGGAGGAGGGGGTGCAGGGGAGAACAGGCTGTTGAACCTCGACTATATATACAGGGTACCTCCCTCATCCAGCTTCGTTCTCACATGCCCCTCCAGACCAGTGTAATTATCTCCATTCTAATGAGAGCATCATGTGACCGGCACCAAGTCGTACCCAGTGAAAGAGTAAATCTAAAAGTCTGGGTCTGTCTCCCACGAGTGTGCCCTTTTTACCATATCAACATACTGTATCCCTCCCCTTGAGGAGCTCATTATAACAAAATCCTTCTCTATCCGGATCCGCACAATGGACTATGTGACTAGGTGGCCATTTAGCCAATCTTATTTAAAACACAAAACAGTATTGTATTTCTCTAATCCTAATGCATTGAGGTCTGGTTTTCTCCAGTGATTACCAATCTGTAGTGGAGTTTCACTTGATCTCATAAAAAAAGTTGGTTTGGAGTCACAGCAGAATTGATCGATTGTGATGGAGTGAATTGTGGCTTGTGGGAGCCTCCTGTTGTCAGAGTAGAACGGTGCTCCAGAAAGTTTTCCAATAGCTGATTTGGAGATGCAGATCATCAGGTCTTTCTTCGGAGGCCGATGAAGGCAGACATGAACTCCAGCTTTTGGTTGGCAGCCAAGTATGCCAGCGGTTGGTGTTACTCAGGGATTCCCTGGTGAAACGCACTGTTGGCTTTACCAACCCATAGAAATGATTTTTCTCTCCATAGTTTAACTTTGTCTGTCTCTTCCTAAATAATAACTAAAATATGCCATAGCAAACCTTTGATTACTTATAATCTTATGTATATGGAATTGCATATAGTGACGAGGGTAGTATGGGAGCTGCTGTAATATCGATAGTAAGAACTAGGATAATGTTTTATGTACCTTTAACTAAAGCTTCTGACATCCCACCAATATTATGAGATTTCACAATAAACTCTGTGATAACAAATCCTGAGGTTTTAATGCTTTGCTTCACTTGCTGTTTTGAATTGCTACCTCAAAATAAATTCAAAAGTATAAACACAAAACTCTTGAGTTTTTAAAATACTGTCATATCCGAGTTTCATAGTTTTAATCCTGGAAGGCATTGTTTTAGCTAAAGTTTATAAACTTCAAATCCGAATCCAGTTAATAATTTATCATTACATTTATTAGGTTTCTTTACCACAAACCCTTAAAAATGATGATTTTATTAGTATTATTTCTATTAGCAAAAACACATAGCAAGCTACTATTATTATTAAGTACAACTGCGCACCTTTACCCAGAGACTTTTCTCCAAATCAGATCGGACTTTGGAGACACTAGAAAGGTAATTAAACATGCCTGGTCATTTCAGTTTACGGCAGTACTGCCACCTGAGACAGGTTTCAGGACACCGTGCAGGGAGCTCCTCCTGCTCCCAACACTCCAGCCAGCCCTTAAGTCTCTGTCCCCAGGACATTCACCAGAGAAGGCAAGGTCCTGCCACTTCCAAAGCTTTGAGATCCATGAGCCTCACCTGCTGATTTCCCTTGTGTGGCTTTGGCTCCTTTGCACTGAGAGCTGAGAGCCAGGGACCTCTGGCTGCATGGCAACACACAGGAGCTCTACACGTAGAAACTGGATCTGCGAGTTTAAGCTGGGTGCAATTTGGTGGTCCACCATAGCTTGGGTCCTCGACGAAAGACTTGATCTTTCTATATACATTACCACAGCAGCCATGGACTTAGAAAAGCCCATGCAAGTGCACTGCAGACTCACAAAGGAGAAGGCAAATTCACCTGGGAGAGTTGGATGAAATGCACTCTATGGGCAGTTCCCTTCCCCGCGATGGCAACGGGATAGGTCTGCTGTTGCTTTGTCACCCCTGACTCCGAAATAAGCAAGGAAAGGTCATTCTAAACCTAGGTTGCACTTTCGAGCACTTTCTAAATACTTCTTGGGTGTGTCACACTGGGCTTAGGAATCTAGACCCAACCCTAGAACTCAATGAGTGATCCATTACCGATAGTAATTTAAGCCACAAATCCTAGTTACCTGACCATTCAATAAGAGAGCTGAACGTGCCCTCTAATGATGTCACTGAAAAGAGGAAGCCCCTGAAGAAGATGGGTTGACGCAGTGGGCGCAGTCATAACAAAACCTGTGCGGATGGTACAGGCTGAGGAGCGTGTTCTCTGTTGTGCACGGGGTCACTAACAAAGAACCAACTCTCCAGGCCACTTCACCACAGCAAGGTTCCTTAATCCAATATTGAAGGGGCCTAGACATCGCTTTCCCTCTCGCAAAAGGTGCCCCTAGTATTTTGGGGTAATCTCCATGGAAAACATGCCACGTGAAGCTAGTTCTAATCAACAGCGATTCCTCCAGAATTTGTCACGTGGTTGCTCACAATGCTAGGATCTAAAACCAATCAACCAAGAAGTGAGTTAAGAATGTACCAACCATGGTCCAAACAAAGAATAACCGGGTAACCAGGTGTACATTATCATTTAAAGTTTGCTTTTTTTTTTTAACCAAGGTAGTAGATTACTCACCATCTGGCTTAAATGGAATTTTATTCTTATAAAAACGAAGATTGCTCAAGTCATTTTGATATCGGATATCTTTGAAGTTCTGCTAAAGGAAAAAATAAATCAATCTCCAGCACATGGACATAGAGAAAAGGCACAAGGACCCTTCGTGAATGTTTGCTCATTGGCACCATAAAATAGGGAAAACAGAAAAAGGATAGATATTTTACATTTTAGAAAGAAAAATGAAGGACATGCAGTACTCTTACTGGGTACTGGTGCCGGTATTTGTACAAGTCTCTCGCCGCATAAAAACTTCTTTTTGGTTTGGCAGTTGCTTCAGTAGACTCACGACCCTGAAATAAAAAGTGAAACTATTGATGTGCTGTAGCAAGGTCATTTCAATGAAAATCTTCAGAGCAAAATTAGGATGAGTATCATTCAAGCTGTCCAGATATAGGAAAGGTCTATAAATGTCCCTTTACTAATGCTTATTAACAAATTTGTTGGCATTCTATTACCTTGATTTGAACCAATAACATTTGTTCTGAAGTGTTACTAAATTTAAAATTGTATTTCTCAGAAAAAGCTGGTAGAGGTTATAGAGTCAGTTCTGGCTCATAGCTATCCTGTGGGACAAGGCAGAACTGCCCCTAGGACTTTCCAAGACTGTAACTCTTCACAGGAGTAAAAAGTGTCCCCTTTCTTTCATGGAGAGGCTAGTGGTTTTGAACTGCTGACCTTGTGGTTAGCAGCCCGATGTGACTATTACATCACCAGGACTCCGTATGGTTGAACATACATCAAAAATAGAACTCAAACTTCCTTGAAGATATTTATTCTCCTAGTTTATACAAGTATGGAAACCCTTATTCAGGATACTTCATGCACTTATTTTAAAGTGTTAAAAATCCGCATCAATTCTACAAAAGAAAAATATCATTTAATTGGCAACATTTAGCTGTACTTGGAATTCAGGTAATGAATACTTATGAAAGAAAAAGGAGACTTTTTAAACAAGCTAAATAACTTTCTGCACTCAACAATGCTTTAACAAGAAGGGCACGAGGCAGGAATAATCAGTGATAGTAATATGTAACACAAATCAGCAAATGTAAAATATCTAAGAGAAGTTATTTTTAAAACGTAAAATGCAAGCCAATATAACTGGCGTTACTCTCTGACTCGATGTGCTATTATATAATATATGAGGCAGTAGAGACTGAAGACGATGAAGAAAATGAGGACAACGTTTGGACTTGAATATTCATTAAGAGATTTAGCCCCAAATACTTTTCTCCTCATCCCCCACCCAAATCTCTGTTGACAGACTGGCATCCTCTAAGCAATTTTCACACATTTTTGAAGTGGTGTGATTCTCACTATTACTACAAGTACAGAGATACTTACTTCAACACCAAATCCTCTGCTGCTGAACATTAGTTACTCTGTCATGTTACATAAGCAGAAAGAGCTTAAATTCTGGTCTTTGCCACACGTTTCAAAATAGCTCTGCCTAGCAAGTTTCTGAATCTATTTAGCCCGAGCTACAACCAAATGAATCATCATCTTACATTGTTTAGAAAGCACTTTCCTTTTAACAAACACTTAGCTGTATATTATTTCATCTGATTCTTGTAACACACCTGGAGTTATTAGTGTCTCCATTTTAGAGCCAAGGTAACCGAGGCTTGGAAAAGTTAAAGACCACAGGACGGCACAAGAAGTAGATGCTTGAGGAAAGATCCTTGTGAAAGATCTTGGGATGATGTCAATCCCACAAGACTAGGAGGCAGGTGGCTTGAACCAGCTGGACTCTGCCACTTAGCATGTATCTTGTCTTCTGCATGAAGCCAAAAGCCCCTGGGAGCTGTAATCTGTAAAGATTCCAGTTTAGGAACCCCTACTTGGCAGTTCTACTCCGTCCTAGAGGATGGTTGTAAGTAGAAATCAACTCGCAGGCAAACAACAACTGGGTTTTACTTTGGTAATCTGTGAAAAGGAGGCCATGACTCATGATTCATCCACTACCCGTGAGAATGTACGCATCCTCCCACCTCTTATCTACCAACCTCCCTGTATCTGTCCTGGCTACCCACCACCCCCGCCTGCTCCTTTGGGGCTCTAGCCAGACCCTTTCCCTTGCTTGTGCCATGACTCGGTTCCTGAACATCTTGTTCCTCTTTCTTGTGTCATCCAAATCTCTCTCTCTCTCTTCTGGATCGTTCCCCCTCAGCAAATAACCATGCCATAGTACATTTAACCTTAAAATAAACATACAAAACCCTCCCTTGACACAAATCCACGCTCAATTACAAATCCATAGCTCTGTTCCTTTTATAACAAAATATCATAAAAAGAGCTGCCTATACGCTGGGTCACCACCTCTTCTCCCATTCTCCTATCAGTACATTCCAATCACGCTGCCTATGTCCTCATCATTCCATCCAAAGGGGCTCCCGGAGGAGTCATGAACAAATCTTTCATCTTGCCAAACCATTTCTCAGGGTTCCGCTCAAGGGACCTCCCCACAGTGTTCAGCTGGTTATAATCTCTCTCCTTACTGAAATTTGTAGATTCTATTCGCCTGGGGTTCCCTCCCCCCACAATCTCACTGTTAGCTCTTCTCAAGCCTCTTCTTTGACACCTCCTCTACCACCTCTTCACACTTTATAATTGCAGGGTGTCTAGGAGTAAGGCTTAGTCCTCATTCCCCATCACTTCTTGATGGCTTCTTACTTTCCTATGACTCTGAATAATTTTGAACTATAATTTGACTTCAGTCTTTGGGAGCCTCCACTCATGGATACATTGAACTAATCAACAATTGCACTTGGGTGTCTAATGAAATATCAAGTCCAACAGAGTCCTTGACTTAACCCCAAACATGTTTTCTCCATCTGAGTTAGACCCCCCTATCATGATTCATGGCACCATTATTTGTCCAGTATCCCCGGGGACTAGCATGGTAGCAGTGCAGGTAGTGAGCAGTCAATCTGGGATATATTTAAAGGTCATTCCTGTTCCCAATGGATTGTCTATGGCAAGTAAGTGAACCACAACCACAAAGTGGAGGGAAACGCCGTCAGAAAGCAAAAGAAATAAGTAGACATTTGGGTGAGGATATTAACAAGAGAAATGAAGCATAAAAGTGGAATTGAGAGGATTGGGATTGTCTACCATACACAAGTATCACAATCGAATCAAGTATTCATTCTGCCATGGCTTTATATAGCCATCCATACCTGGTTTCAAACACCAAACTCACTGACTCATAGTGATCATATAAGACAAAGGTAGAACTGTCCATGGGGGTTTCTGAGACTATAACTTTTCGGGGAATCAAAAGCCTGGCATTTCTCCCATGGCCGGCGGTTTTGAACTACTGACCTTGTGGTTAGCAGCCCTACAGTAACCGCTGGCCACTAGGGCTGGATTAAATCTAAACACATAGTTTTTGGGTGGTGGTGGTTTCGGTTTGTTTCTGTTTTGTTTGCTTGCTTGCTTTCTCTCTATCCCAAACTTATGTAGAAGGTTACCCAATTGAGAGGAGATTGGAAGGGGGAACTCAGAAACACAACATGGGCTCTTTTCCTGGGCTGAACTGGAGATCCAAAGAGAGCAGTAAACAGAGACACAAGGGCATTTAGGATTTTAACAGGTCAGAGTTTTTGACGATGGTGTCAGACACATCTGTGTCGATCTCTCCCTCAATGATCTTGAGTAAATTTCTCTACAATGGTGATTAAAAATAAGAAAGCCATCACAAATGCAAGTTGCTGTAAACAGTATGTTTACGAAAGAACTGCCCTGGAGACTTGTCTAATGAAGGCTGCCAACCTAAGCAGAGGTAGATATGGAGACCTGTGAGTCACGGTTAGCAGGTTTGATTCCATGATGAATCCCACTGAAGAGAACGCTAGTTAATAATGACCAAAAATGAACGAGCATCACTGTTAAAATTTGAGATTTGCCTGGACAAAGGATTTTTGGTCTGCTGGAAGATCAAGCCTGCATAGTACTGTGTTTGAGCAGAGGCAAGCTGGCAAACACGCCTATGGTTCCATTTTCCCACCCATATGGACAGCCCCCCCCTCTCGCCCCGTTACCGCCAGCTGCTGCAGTAGGACTTCATGCCTGATGCAGACCTTGAACCACTTACATGCTGTATACGTCTTCAGAAGGTCCTCCTTTTTAAAAGTTTTCTGATTTATTGTTGGCCCATCAAGGGTTAAACGGGTTATTTATGTCTTTACTAACCTGTCCTCCAAAGTATCTTAGTCAAGTGATTTCAGCACAGATGGATCAACAAGTACTTCTGGGTGAAATAGATTTTTGAAGAGTGCCCTGAACACTAGGTTAGACAGGCCTTACATGGGGTAAGAACTGTGGCGTTTTAACTTCCATAAGAGCCATTTACAATACTTTTAATGGCCACAGATCCCACTGCAAGGGAGAGTGCTGTTACTTGTCAATTGAAGTCTCACCTTAGTCTGGGCATTCTTTTTTTTTTTTTTGGTACCAATAACACGCACTAGACGGGTTCTCAGAAGCCTCTATTTTTAGGCAGGTTCCACCCACCCCACCTTCGCTTCCTCCAGCTGCGCTTGCATAGGCGACGCAAACACCCATTCAAGTTGGGTCCTTCCCGGCGGGGCTTCCCGGTCTTGCCCAGGGCCAGGCCCC